ACTATATTTTCTGCCACTCACCCCCCAGATGGGGACACGCTGTCTGACAACAGAGTACTTAATGTTCTGTTTGTTGAAATCGTTATTTCTCAATCGCCCTCACCCCTCCCTACCTTTCAAATGTTCTAGTTAATGCAGAAACATCCCGTTTCTTTCCATGGAGGAAACCAAGTGACCCCAGCATTCCATGGACCTATTCTTGTCCTACTTTCAGAGAAAAGCAGCTCTTCCTGCTGACCGCCTGCCTATAATAAGCCATAGCTTAGCTGGTGGGTCTGAATGTCCTAGTTAGAGATAAGTTGGCGGAGGCACAGTATGTCTACGTGTAGAATTTGGAAGGAGGGACTAAAGAAAGACATCCTTGATTTATAAACCTCATCTTCACCCTACACTCCTTGAAATTCCTCTTCAGTAGAGAAGCAAGGCGTCTTATTTATAGTAAGAAATGTAGATTAAAATGTAAATAGCAGAAGAGTAGTGGCTTGGAGTTAATTAATTGAAATCAACGAGACCAAATCCTTCCCTGCAAGCACATTTTGACGATGTAAAACTGGAAAGAGTCCAAGGATACTCAGTACTTAAAAAGAGGCTTGATCATAACAAATGCCAAGAAAAAGAAGAAAGAAAAAAATGGGGCTGGGTGCAATGAATGGCTCATGCCTGTAATCCCAGCATTTTGAGAGGCCGAGGTGGGTGGATTACATTGAGCCCAGGAATTCGAGACCAGCCTGGCCAACATGGTAAAACCCTGTCTCTACTAAAAACACAAAAATTAGGTGAGTATGGTGGTGTGAGCCTGTAAACATAGCTACTTGGGAGGCTGAGGCTGGAGAATCCCTTGAGCCCAGGAGACAGAGGCTGCTGTGAGCTGAGATTGTGCTACTGTACTCCAGCCTGAGGGACAGAGCCAGAGACACTGTGAAAGAAAAGAAAAGAAAGAAAGAAAGAGAGAGAGAGAGAGAGAAAGAGAGAGGGAGGGAGGGAGAGAGGGAAGAAGGAAGGAAAGAACAAAGGAAGGAAGGGAGGGGGAAGAGAGGGAGGGGGACGGGATGGAGAAAGAAAGAAAGAAAGAAAGGAAAGAAATAAAGAAAAAAAGAAAAAAGGGATTAGGGATGCAAACTGGTTGTACCAAAGGGTCACTTCATACTTGCAGTAGATTTCCTCTTGGGATAGCCATTAAGAGTTAGTGCTTTAAAAGCAATGTGTGAGAGGTGGAAACCAAAACAGAAACTGCCTGTCTTGAAGTAAGATGCATTTTAGTCTGATGGAAACCAGTGTCTTCACACCAAAGGCGTGTGCTGCAAGAATGCACAGCAAGGAGTCGCCCCGTCATCGAATGAGCTCTAAGCAAATGACTTAGGAGACCCAGGTTTCAGCCCTAGCTGTGTCATCAGATCAGTTGCCCAACTCCATGTGAGTTACCTCATCTTTCCCACCACAGTCTCCTCAGTTTCACTATCTGCAGAGTGGGAGATAGAATAAACATGCCCCAGGACCACTGTGAAAGTGAAATAAGATGATATGAGTCAATGTGCTGAGCTAATTGTAAAATAATATCTAAATCTTGGCTGTAAATATTTTGATCCAATGATGTTACCTAGCACCAAGATTGATGAGACAAATCAAACATTAAAAAGAAAACCTAGGCTATTTTTCCGCCATTATTAGAACATTAAGAAAGGAGGGTTACCTCTAGAGGAGAGCCTTATAAAGCTCAGTTAAAAATGGAAAGGGCTTTGCAATGGACTCTATGATTGGTCGAAATGTTAGCCTTTCTTCATTGTAGCAACTTTAATCCTTCCTCTTGGGTTTGTCTGGTCAAAATCGCACACAGCGTCTAAAAGGGGAGTGGGCATTAATTAAGATTTAGGTCAGAGCCTCTGAGGTAGCCAGTGATTTCGTTTCTGGGAAAGGAAGACAAAACCTTAGCGATGGTTGGATAAGAGTAACATTCCTTTCTATTGTGATCACTCTACATCAAGGAAATGTTTGAAATTTAGGCAGTCTGTTAAAGTTATTATATGGCCGAACTTTTGAAAAACACAGCAGCACAAATGTGTTTTATCAATCCTGACTGTTGGTAAGAATCCTGAACAAAGGAAATTTGACCAATCTCCCAGTGCCGTTCACTCCAAAATGGATCATTAGTCTAGAGGACCAACTGCGTCTATCAGAGTCAGATCCGTCAACCAAGAGTCCCCACTCCCCTCACCATCATTCACACGTCCTGCGCTTTCTTTGCAAGTGAAACAGACTGCCATTAGGTTTAGAGTAACCTGCGATTAGCACGTCTCTCAACTTCTCTTACAAGGAACTTATTTTTCAGTGGAAATTTTTGTAGTGGTTCCTGTCTGATGTGTAACTGTTCCCTGGAGACCAAACTCCCCACTTCATCATTGACAGCAGGATTCCAGGAGTGAATAGCATCCCTTTGAACCAACTAGGGACTGTAATTTCTTAAACCTATCTAGGAGCCATTTTGGCACCTTCTACACAGCATCCCTTGCAAATAAGTCCTGCAGAGCTACGAAATTCTGGCCTTCTTGTAAGTGTCAGTCTCAGAGACCTAGTCACATGTGTTTTTGTGGGTGAGGCTGGTCCCGTGTTTGCCAAGGTCAAGCAACTCAATTGCTGAGGGCCTGGTTGGAATCTACTGTGCACAGCCTGGCCCACAGTGGCTTCTTCCCTTGCCCTTGGGCCCTGAAGTGTATTTGCAAGTTGGGAAGAAGGCACCAGGCTGGGGTGGGGGTAACCAGAAACCCAAACAGATGGAAAAAAGGTTGAAAAAGTCAAAACAACGAAGATTTGCTTAATTTACAGATAAGCATAATTTAATCTATCAACTATATTTATTCCTGTGGTTCTTCATTAGCACAGAAAAATCAATTGTTTATATTTTAAGAGTAAATGCATCTTTCTTCTATTCCTGAATGAGGCACACAGAAGTAACTACCACATCATTAATCAACACACAATAAAACAAATGATCCCCATGCTTTCCCAACTTTAAACCCACTTGCAAAAAAACCCACATTGGGGGTGCTGCCACCAGTGTGGGTCTTTGTTCCCAGCCAGTGCCTGGCACACGTATGTATGGACTGCATGCAAATTTGTTGACTGATGACTAACACACAGGTGGGTCTACAGAATAATAAAGGAAAGCTAACTTCCTCCTTCTACCTCATTTAAGTGCTTGTACCTATCTGCTCTTGTTTATCATCTATCTAGTCATGAAATGTCATTTTGGCTTTCTTTGCAGAGGTTGGGCTGAATTTAACTGGATCATTTCATGCATCCTATAAGCCTTTGTGTTTTGTTTTTTTCTTGTTTGTCTCTTCTGGAATTCTTTGCTTCTGTCGAGCCCTACTTGTTCTTTAGACCCCTTCTCTTTTACAAAATCTCATTCCCTCTCCTGCTCTTCCTCCCACTAGCTAATATGTATTAGCACTCAATGGGTCAGATACCACTTTAGGTGCTGCGTGTGTATTGACTCTTGTAACACTCAAAAATCATCCATTGACTCATAAAACCTTCAAAACCACCAGTGAGGTAGGGCTCTTATTCTGAGAAACAGAAAAGTAACTTGCTCAATAGTACATGGCGGGTGGGTGGCAGAGGTGGGATTTGAACTCAGGCAGTTGGCTCTTAAGCACTTCGGCCTTCTTGAATCTGCTCATTTCCTGAACCCTGATGATCATTTCCTCAACTTGTGTTGCTTGATAATCGCTTTAGGACTGTTCCCATGCTGCAGGGAAAGAATCTCCTTAGAGAGTATACCCCTTAGTGCTTCTTATATCACTTAGAACATTTTTTTTTTGCTTTGCTGTTTATTTCTGTCAATTATTTATTAACAAATTAATGAAACAAGAAAACAAGTCAAAACAAAAATGATCAAAAGATAATCCTGATTAGGGGAGAAGAATTATTATTTTTAAGTAAGATAGTCTTAAAAACGCATTCCCGCTGTTATTTTTTTTTTTTTTTTTTTTGAGATGGAGTCTCACTCTGTCACCAGGCTGGAGTGCAGTGGCACGATCTCGGCTCACTACACCCTCTGCCTCCTGGGTTCAAGTGATTCTCCTACCTCGGGTCCCAAGTAGCTGGGACTACAGGTGCGTGCCACCACGCCCAGCTAATTTTTGTATTTTTGGTAGAGATGGGTGTCACCGTATTGGCCAGGATGGTCTCAATCCTGACTTCATGATCTGCTCGTCTTGGCCTCCCAAAGTACTGGGCTTACAGGTGTGAGCCACCACGCTCAGCCCCTACTGTTAAATTTTATTAGGAACTCCCCATTTCTCCAACCATGGCTTCTGTCTACCACACAATGTAGCATGCATGAGTGATTGTGCACGTGTACACACAGGATTTAAAAAATCTGGGCCAGTTTTCAATCATAAAGCAACATAAACTCATTTTTAAATATCCAGAGACAGACAATGTCTACTGCAGAAAGTGAACCCGTCTTATAATACCAACCCCAAAACATTTAAAAATATTTGGGGGTTCTATGTTTTGCTGGACTTTTGTTCTACCAGGAGACAGATAAAAACGGGCTTGTACTGCATGTTCTTTTGCATTCGTTGCTTCGTATTTGGTTCACATCTTTGTGTATATCCTCTTTATCCTTTTTCACCAGTAGCACAGTCTTCCAAAGGGTGGACTGCCAACTGGTAATAAGGACCCTACTGACGGACTTTTGGATTGTGTTCATGTTTTCAATATCATGCTCAACTGCATTTCACATAGCCTCAATGAAAGAAATCTGTGCTAGGTTGAACTCAAAAAGGGAGTGTTGGGCCAAGTAGCTCTTCTGTGCAATTAAGAAAGAAATTACTCAGCAGATACAAAGTATTACATAGGAAAGGGTAAGGCTTCTCTAACTGGGTTTTCAGGTAGCATTAGGGATGTGAAGTGAGGTACAAAGCGTCTCTTCCCTGAGGAACATTTTGTTTAATGTTGCAACAGACACATCTCTCTTTGCTAAATCATGCTTGCAGGAACCCACAAGGCCAGTCCCTGAATCACAGGCCTGCTCGGAGTAGGACACTGTACGAAGCTCTGCTGAAGTTTTCCTGTGCTGAAGCAAGCAGTGAGTAACGCTGTCTTTGAAAAATGCTCTGACCAAAACCATTCTTTGCTCTGCTAGAGCTTTGTTTTTCAATCAGGCTGTTATTCAAATGCTGGAGCGGATCCAAATTTGCTTTCCTGAGGAAAAGTCTGCCTTTGCCTGCAGCACGCACACACGGCTGGAGCGGGTGGGCTCTGGCCTGCCGGGCCTGCTGCACCCTGGGGGGTGTGCAAGAGGGACCCCTGTGCTCCCAAGACCTGCGTTCCAGTCCAAAGGGTCCCCTCACAGACCCTCCACGTGCACACAGCTCTGCTCAAGCCACCCCTTCTTCCCCTCACTTGCCTCATGCTTTTCTTTTTCTTTCTTTCTTTTTGACATGGAGTCTTGCTCTGTGGCCAGGCTGGAGTGCAGTGGCGCAATCTCCGCTCCCTGCAACTTCCGCCTCCCGGGTTCAAGCGATTCTCCTCCCTCAGCCTCCTGAGTACCTGGGACTACAAGCAGCACAAGCCACCACGCCGGCTTTTTTTTTTTTTTTTGAGACAGTGTTTTGCTCTTGTTACCCAGGCTGGAGTGCAATGGTGCGATCTCGGCTCACCGCAACCTCCGCCTCCTGGGTTCAGGCAATTCTCCTGCCTCAGCCTCCCGAATAGCTGGGATTACAGGCACGCACCACCGTGCCCAGCTAATTTTTAAAATATTTTTAGTAGAGACGGGGTTTCACCATGTTGACCAGGATGGTCTCGATCTCCTGACCTCGTGATCCACCCGCCTCGGCCTCCCAAAGTGCTGGGATTACAGGTGTGAGCCACCGTGCCTGGCCCTCCTCATGCTTTTCTATGTCCTTCCCATTCTACAAGGGCCATCCCAGCTTCACTTCGAAGCAGGCTTCCCTACTTACACAGCGCTTCTCTCGCTGCCTAGAAGCACCTTTCCCGCATGCTCACCCAGTGATCCGCTCACTGGCTCACCCACTTGTTCCTCCAGCAGATGTTTCTCCAGCACCTCTCATGTGCCAGGAACACAGCAGGAGCAAAACCAAGTCCAGTACCCACCCACGGAGCCAACGCTTCCGAGAAAGAAACAGATTGTGAGCCAGTCCGTCAGCCTGCACTGCATCAGGTGGTGTTGAGCACAGGTAACAGGTGTCAGAGGGGGCCCCGTGGCCATTTTGCACGGCATGTAAGGGAGGGCTGCCAGGTAAGGTGACCTGTGGCCCAGAGCTGAGTGAGAAAGGGGAGGAAGCCTTGCAGGGATCTCCCAGAAGGTCCTTACAGGCAGAGGGACTGTCAGTGCAAATGTCCAGTGTTGGGCACTTTCTTGGCCTTTTGGGGGAACATCAAAGAGCCCATTTAGCTCCTCCTCCCTGAAGCCCCTGGTAACCCCTGATCTTTTTGCTGGCCTCATAGTTTTACCTTTTCCAGAATGTTCTAGTTAGAATCATACAATGTGCAGCTTTTTCATATTGGCTTCTTTCACTTAGCAACATATTTAGATACTTTTTAAATGCAATTTTTATTTTATAAATGTATATGTTCTTTCTTCAACTGAAATGTAAGATTTCTGAGAGTAGTGGCTTGAAGGCTGTAGATAACAGATGAGAAATCATGATAATGCTTTCTTAGAATAATTCCACTCTTTGAGGTACATCTATGTGTGCTATGCATCCCTGTATCCTCCAGCCCTTACCTAAAACTTTAATTGGATTATTACTCCTAGTCTGTGACATGCAAATATTCTAATTAAAGGCTGATATTTTTTCTTTTAAGAAAAACTTTAGCAGATGCATAGTAGGTATATTTATTTATGGGTTATATCAGATGTTTTGATACAGGTATGCAATACATAATAATCACCTCAGGGTAAATGGTGTCTCTGTCACCTCAAGCATTTGTCCTCTGTATTACAAACAATCAGTTATAATCTTTTAGTTATTTTAAAATATACAATTAAATTATTTTCAACTGTAGTCATCCTGTTGTGCTAGCAAATATTAGGTCTTACTCATTCTTTCAATGATTTGTACCCATTAACTTATCTTCCCCCTCAACAATCCCCTCCCCTTCTACTCTTTGTCTTTATGAGCTTAATTATTTTAATTTTTAGCTCCCACAAGTAAGTGAGAACATGTGAAGTTTGTCCTTCTGTGCCTGGCTTATTTTACTTGACATAATGGCCTCTAGTTCCATCCCCGTTGTTGCAAATGACTGAATCTCATATACACTCCATGGCATATATGTACCGTATTTTCTTTATCCATTTATTTGTTGATGAACACTTAGGTTTCTTCCAAATCTTGGAAGTTATGAATAGTGCTGCAATCGCTTTAATATATTTATTTCCTTTTTTTGGGGGTATATATGAGTGGGATTGCTGGATCATATGACCACTTTATTTTTAGTTTTTTGAGGAACCACCAAACTGTTCTCCATAGCGGTTGTACTAATTTACATTCCCACCAACAGTGTATGAGGGTTTTCTTTTTTCCACATCCTCACCAGAATTTGTTATTGCCTGACTTTTGGATATAAGCCATTTTAACAGGGTGAAATGATATCTCATTGTAGTATTGACTTGCATTTCTCTAATGATGAATGATGTTGAGCACCTTTTTATATACCTACTTGCCATTTGTATTTTTTCTTTTGAGAAATAAGACTGACATTCTTTCAGGGCATAAATTAAAGAATGCAACCCTCCTCTGTCCATGGCCACATATATCATGTAAGAGCAGTTTAGCATAGATACTGAAATTCATTTTTTTAGATGGATTCTCAGTTCTAAACAACATAAATGAATGTCTTTATTTCTAATGCTTGTCTTTGCTTCAGACAAAGAAAGAAAGAAAGAAAGAAAGAAAGAAACCCAAAACACAATGAAGAAAGAGGTCAATTAAGTAAACCAGTTACTTAAAGCCAACAAAGAAACAAGCATCAGCAAGCAGTCCTGTCTTCCCAAATTATTTCTTTTGAAATCAAACACCTTCATTAAGTGGTTCTTTGAACTGTTTTGCCATAGAAATAAAAAAATAAAAACTTATGAAGAAACTGAAATAACTATGTACAAAATGCCCTGGTGACTTTATTTTAAATACAATTGTGTGCAATTTGCTAATCTTCATTGTCATCTATAACTGAATTGTATGTGCTTTTGAAAGCTATGTAATTAATGACATCTATATGACTGTTAAAATGTGTCTGCAGTTGGTCATCATATAATTTAGATCTGAGGTCCTCAGTGGAAGATGAAGTCCAAGAAGTCAGAACCTCTGTTCCTCTTTTCACTATATCCCAGTACCATATGTATATGGAAGACTGGATATGATTGACTTGAGTTGTATCTGCAATGCTTCTTGAAGGCATGAAAACTACGGCAGGTGTTTTTAATTACTCAGACCTCCACCCTCCAATATGTAAGCTCCTTGAGAATGGGGATTTTGTCTGGCTGGTTTTCCTGCTGAATCCCCAGCACCTAATATGGTGCCCAACCCAAACAGAGCCCTTAACAGATACTCAATAAATATTAGTAACTACTAAGTTATTTTCTGAAATGAGATACAGTCTCTGGGATGTTTAACTTTATGTGTCAACTTGGCTAGGCCAAAGTATCCAGATATTGATCAAACATTTTTCTGGATGTCACTGTGAAGCTGTATTTTTTTTAAAAGATAAGAGTACCATTTAAATCAGTAGGCTTTGAATAAAACAAATGACCCTCCATAACATAGGTGAGCCTCCAATCAGTTGAAAGCCTTAATAGAAAAAAGAGCGACCTCCGCAGAGCAAGAAGAAATTCAGCCAGCAGAGTGCCTTTGGACTCAAGTCCAACAGGCACATCCTGATCTCCACCCTGCCAGCCTGCCTTGCTGATTTTGGACTTGCCAGTCTCCATAACACACACACACACATACACACACACACACATTCTATTGGTTCTGTTTGTCTGGAGAACCCTAATGAAGGTGAGATACACACACACACACACACACACACACACAGAGGTGTATTTCATGCAGTTGGTTCACACTGTTATGGAGCACACACACACATTCTATTGGTTCTGTTTGTCTGGAGAACCCTAATGAAGGTGAGATACACACACACACACACACACAGAGGTGTATTTCATGCAGTTGGTTCACACTGTTATGGAGCACACACACACATTCTATTGGTTCTGTTTGTCTGGAGAACCCTAATACACCCATCTTACTCCTTTGCTCCCTCAATGTAACAATCAATATATGTCATTTGCCAGCGATCACTCTCACCCATCCAGACCTCACCACTACTAAAGCCAAACCAGTGATACAATCCCTGAAGTACACTCTTGACTTTAACTTCTCCACTCCAATGAAGTGACAAAGAGCATTATCTCCTTAACGATTCAATTCTTCTGTGATGCAAAGCACCTGACCGTGGAACAGGTGCTGAGAGGACGCTGTACTTGCTCAAGCCATATCCTGATAGTGTGACAGGAGGCACCAGCTTAATACTGGGCTTTGAGGGGAGAATGTTTCCCATGGTGAGGCTGGGCTGCTGATAGTCTCACTTCCTCTAAATATTTCCACTCTTTACAAGTGAAGCTGTGGGTGGGGATTTTAGAGTCATGGAAACTAGTCAAAGGTTACTAAAGGTTCATGGACACTACTATTTGATGACTGTGTGTTAGCTGCATAGTCCCATATGTGATAAAAAAAAGTCAATATAAAAAATAGTTCAATGGGAAGCTGATAGATGAGCATATATGCAATTTAGTTCTCTTCAGGATCAAGCAAAGTGATGAACCTTCATGGAACCCAATCTGCTGGTCTGGGGAAGAATGCTTTTGTAAATTAAGTATTCATATAGAATCTTTCCCCAAGGGTCTATCTGGAGGGGAAGTGACAGTGAGAGCGAAAGCCTTAATTTGCCCACAATCAGGGCAGGCTGGACCAGGCACAAATGGTCTGTTCAGGTAGATTCCTTTTTTCTTTTTGTTTTTATGTTTTAATCCTGGGGAGTCAATTTTAGCCCCTTCTCCCTCTTCCATTTCAAACCCCTTCCCTCCTTTGATGTCCCTCAGTTAAAACCTGTTTCTACCTTGAGGCAAAGCTTCCCTTCTCCGCTCTAGTAGTTTGTGCATGAAACCGGGATAAATTTGGTGGCAACTGTGCCTTCCTGAAATCCTAACTCTGAACCATCATTTCTGTTAATGACTTATCACTGCCAACTAATAGAAATGATAGATTGTCATACATTCATGCAATAGGATATTATACAGCGATGAAAATGAATCATCAACATCTCTTGGCACCAGCGTGGATAATCCTCAGAAACATCATGCTGAACCTAAGAGCAAGTCTTGGAAGAATGCATATGTATGATTATATTTACTTACAGTCCCCAAACAGGAAGAAATTGACTATATGCAAATTGCATATATACCTATGCATACATGCCTATGAGTACACTTAGACCTAGGAACCCAATCGAAAAGTAAAATAAGGGAATGACTAACGAAATTTTAAGACAATAACTCATTTTGTGTTGGGTGATATAATTTGGATGTTTGTCTCCTCCAAATCTCATGCTAAAATGTGATCCCCAGTGTTAGAGGTGGGCCTGGTAGAAGGTGTTGGATCATGGGTGCAGATACCTCATGAGTAGCTTGGTGCCATCCCTTTGATGGTGAGTGACTTTTCTCTCAGTTAATGCATACAAGATCTGGTTGTTTAAAAGGCTCTGGGCCACCCCACTTCTCTCTCTTTCTTCCTCTGTTGCTGCGGCATATGCTGGCTCCTCCTTCACCTTCCACTGTGGTTGTAACCTTCCTGAGGTCTCACCAGCAGCAGATGCCAGTACCATGCTTTCTGTATACCCTGTAGAACCATAAGCCAACTAACCCTTTTTTCTTTGTAAGTTACCCATCCTTGGGCATTTCCTTATAGTGATGCAAAACAGACTAACACAGAAAATTGGTACTGGGAATTGGAGCACTGCTGTAACAATACCTGAAAATGTGGAAGTGACTTTGGAACTGGGTAATTGGCAGAGGCTGGAAGAGTTTAAAGGACTCAGGAAAAGACAGGAAGTTGAGGGAAGTTTGGAACTTCTTAGAGATGGGTTAAATGGTTGTGACCAAAATACTGATACAGATACGGACAGTGCAGTTCAGGCCGATGAGGTCTCAGATGGAAATGAGAAAGCTTTTGGGAACTGGAGTAGTAGGGTCATTCTCATTATGCCCTAACAAAGAACTTGGTTGCACTGTATTCACGCTCTGGGGAATCTGTGGAAGTTTGAATTTAAGAGTGATGACCCAGGATACCTGGTAGAAGAAATCTCTAAGCAGCAAAGCATTCAAGAGGTGATCTGGCTGCTTCCAGCAACCTAAATCAGATATGGGAGCAAAGAAGTCACTTAATATTGAAACTTATATTTAAAAGGGAAGCAGAGTGCAAAAGTTTGGAAAATTTGGAGTCTGGCTCTGTGGTAGAGAAAGAATCCAAGCAGGCTGTGAAACAGTCACTTGCCAGAGAGATTAGCATGACTAAAAGGCAGCCAATATCCAAGACAAGGGGAAAAGGCTTCAAAGGCATTTCAGAAATCTTGAGGACAGCCCCTTTCATCACAGGCCCAGAGGCTTAGGAGAAATAATGGTTTCAGGGACCAGGCCCAGGGCTCCACTGCCCTACTGAGCTTCAGACTCTGGCTTCAGCCTCAGCTCAAAGGGCCCAGGTACACTCTGGTGACAGTTCTGTAGGACACAAGCCATAAGCCTTGGTGGTTGCCATGTAGTGTTAGGTCTGCAGATGCTCAGAACGCAAGCGTGAAAAAGGCTTGGTGGCTTCCATCTAGCTTCCAGAGGATGTATGGGAAAGCCTGGGTGTGCAGGCAGAAGCCTACTGCAGAAGCAGAGGCCCCACAGAAAAGCTTTCCTAGGGAAATGCCAGGGGAAAGGTGGGGTTGGAGCTCCCACACAGTCTTCATCAGGGCACTGTCTAGTGGAGCTGCGGAAAGGGGGCTGCCACCCTTCAGCACCCAGAATAGTAGATTCACTGGCAGCTTGCACCCTTTGCTTGGAAAAGCCACAAACACTCAACTTACATCCGTGAGAGCAGCCAGGTAGGCTGTAACCTGCTAAGCCGCAGGGGCAGAGCTGCTCAAGGCCGTAGGAGTCTGCTCTTATACCAGTGTGCCCTAAATGTAGGACACAGAGTCAAAAGCGATTATATCTTGGACCTTTAAGATTTAATGACTACCCTACCGGGTTTCGGACTTGTGTGGGGCCTCTACATTTCTTTGGGCCAATTTCTCCCTTTTGGAATGAAAATGTTTGCCCAATATCTGTACCACCATTGTATCTTGGAAGTAACTAACTTGCTTTGATTTTAGAGTCTCAAAGGTAGAGGGGTTTGAGGCTTAGATGAGACAGGACTTTGGACTTGATACTATAATCATTTTAGACTTTGGGAGACTATTGGGAGAAGATGATTGTATTTTGTAATGTGAGAAGGGCATGAGACTTGGGAAGCCAGGGGAAGAATGACATAGTTTGAATGTTTGTCCCTTACAAATCTCATGTCGAAATGTGATCCCCAGTGTTGGAGGTGGGATCTATGGGAGGTATTGGAGCATGGGAGTGGAACCCTTATGAATGGACTAACACCATCCCCTGGGTGACGAGTGAGTTCTCCTTCAGTTAGTTCACATGAGATCTGGTTGTTTAGGCCAGGCGCGGTGGCTCACGCCTGTAATCCCAGCACATTGGGGGGCTGAGGTGGGTGCATTACCTGAGGTCAAAATTTCAAGACCAGCCTGGCCAACATGGCAAAACTCCATCTCTACTAAAAACACAAAAATTAGCTGTGCGTGGTGGTGCATGCCTGCAATCCCAGCTACTCAGGAGGCTGAGGCAGGAGAATCGCTTGAACCCTGGAGGTGGAGGTTGCAGTGAGCCAAGATTGCACCACTGCACTGTAGCCTGGGTGACAGAGTGAGACTCCATCTCAAAAAAAAAAAAAGAAAAAAGAGACCTGGTTGTTTAGAAGAGTGTGGCACCTCCCACCTTTCTTTCTTGCTCCCACTCTTGCCGTGTGATGCTGGCAAGCATCCTTCATCTTTTACCATAAGCTTTCTGTAAGCTTCCAGAGGCCTCACCAGAAGCAGACGCCAGCACCATGCTTCCTATACAGCCTACAGAACCATGAGCCAATTAAACCTTTTTTCTTGCAAATTGCCTAGACTCAGATATTTACAACCACACGAACATAGACTGACCCAGTAGGCATTGGGGGATATGGACACAATTGGTTAGGGGCGCACAGCAGGCGTTCAGGGTTGGGAAATGGGGCAGCTTGTAGATATGTATTTATGTTTGTATTCCTATCATTATTTAGAATATACAGGCTAGGTGCGGTGGCTCATGCCTGTAATCCCAGCACTTTGGAAGGCTGAGGCAAGTGGATCTCAAGGTCAAGAGATTGAGACCATCCTGGCCAACACAGTGAAACCCTGTCTATACTAAAATTACAAAAAATTAACCGGGCATGGTGGCGT